CTGTTGCCCAGCTGTGGACCCGCCCCGCACTTTGAGAAGTACTGAGCAAAACAGTCGGAAGCCTCTGGTCGTGAGATTAGACCCTTTGTCAGTGAGCAGATGTCCAGCTCCTCAACAAATACATTACAACTAAATAAATTAAAGCTGCACCATGGACCAGGTCAAAACATGACATGACAGACAGCAGCTTCAACTGTAAAATAATACAAATAATTTGTATGATTTTGCTCAAAATCCTAAACTTACAGAATATCTCATGGTCTCTGTGTTGTCATTGCTTACATTATTAAAAAAAAAAAAAAAAAAAGGTTTAACCCAGTGTTTTTCCATGCCAGGAAAAAAGAAGAAGAAGGAGGAGAGGGAGAACCCGAGGCTGATCGTCTGCCTGGGCCACAGAGCTGTCACTCAAACATCTCTTACAACAGGTATTTACTCCAGTTTTTATATAGATATATGTGGAAATTCTGCCCTAAAACAAAATCTTTTATAACATGTCAAAATTACACAAGACTAGTGGAAATTCATATTTGACGAACTCTGTCATAGATCAAACCTCAGGGTGGGGACTTCAACTGGAGCCAGGAGTGATTTAAGTGCATTTGTAATTTTTTCTGTGCTATTTGTCATTTGTCAGATCATTCTGACCTACTGGAGAGTTCAGACCTGTGCAACAGGGTATGTTGAAATAGCGCCTTCTTTCTAAGGGTGTGATGAAAACCACCTCTGGTTGCAAGAACAAGTTCATCGAAAATTCATTTCCACACGATGACCTCATGTTGCTGCGATATGTCAGAAATATCAGATGGCGTTACGGTCTGCCTTAAATCTTATCTTGATCTCCAAGTTTCTGAGCCCTTCCATAAACTGCCTCTTGTAACGTTAACTTCTTCCCCTTTGTGATTTTCACTTCTCTTATCTGAAGTTCCATTTTTGAGCAACATTTCTCAGACCTTCCTTTTGTTTACTTTCAATTTGCAATACAGTATTAAAGAAAACCTCCCTGCATTCCACTTAGTGGAACCAAAATGTCCTATAAATGTGTATATATATATATATACAGTATATATGCCATAATTTGAGAACTAGCATTCTATAAAATATATGTACAATACATGAGGTCCTCGTCTACAACGTCATTTCCTACAGTGTTTTGTGGTTACATGACCCTCTCCCATGAATGTATTAAGAAAGTCATGTTCCATCATTCCAATGTACAGCGTTAAAACAAATTTAGTTGACTAGTTGACCAGCAGTGCGGATGAATACGCCCTCATGCAGCATTAGCCACGTGGAAGGGGGCTTTGATTATGTAAGTTGTCCCAGAAGTAAGTCGTACATTGAATTGTGCTACATTTGCTTTCTTTTGTTTGTTTGTTTTTGGATGCTTTTTGGCCTTCAATATGGCTCCCAAGCACAAGTCAGACTTTTCTGATGTTTTATGTCCTAGATCATGATGTTACTACTGTGTAAGCATAGGTGAATGACGTAGGTACTGTAAAGTTACTGTAGAGTTATGTTGCACCGGAGCAGCTCTGAAAGTCGAGGAACCCCTGTGTACAGTATGGTATGGAGCCCAAATTCCTTCTTCTGCTCAGACCTACCATTGTGCTGTGTGATAATAACAAGGCAGAAGTAGTTGCTCAACGTTTCAAGTCATGCATTCTTTTTATTGTCTAGTCCATGGCTGCAACTTGCATTTGAATCCCAATCGAAGTAAGTCCCACTGGGGTGGGTCGTTCTCCAAGGAGCTTCCCAGTGGAGAGTTCCGTTAAAGCAGGGCTTTTCAATGAGACATGAAGTAGAGCCAGATTTTACCAAACTGTTAAAAGACATTTTTAGCCACAGACTCACTGCTTATGAAACATAGTTTTGGACTTTGCATGTAAATAAACAGGTGTTTGTCCATACAAGGAGTATTCTGATGTTGTTCACTGATAATTAGGTCCTCAAGAGGGACATTGTTGTGTAGTGAACTGCCCACACGTTTGACACAGCTGCTCTGGACAAGTGATGCACTGTGGCTCAAATGTTGCTAGGCTGTAGAGTGTTGCATTTGCAGGCTGTCATTTGTAGGAATTTGTGATTACCCCTCAACTCGGCTTCTCTCAGCGTTTCCTAAATGACCACGACCAGGCCACTCTGTCTGGGCCGCTTGTGGTTCATGAGCCGCTATTTCAATACGCGTGTGGTTCATGAGCCGCTATTTCAATACTGCTGCCCTTAGGAAGCAGTTTTAACTCCTGTGGTATAGGTCCCATTCTGATCCGCCTCTGCAGTTCTTGCTGTTTTTGACCTTGTGGAAGATAATACATGAATGTAAGGATTTACACTATTATTTAGACAGATTACCCAGCATGCACTCTAACAGCTGTTTCCTGTGGTCTAACTGCTCCTAGCCTCACGCTGCAGCAGCAACATCCGCCTGTCAGTGCAGAGAACGCCAGAAACAGAAAGAGGAACTGATAGCGATACAGTGTCAGCAGGCTGTGTGAATGTGTGTGTGTGTGTGGCTGGGTGTCAGGGTGTCTGTGTTGTGACATCCAATCCCTGCGAGGTGCGATGCCAGTACATGCTTTAGTGCTTTCCTTCAGCAGCCTTCAGCCAGTGTGTGGCCTCCACTCGGCTCCTGCTGTGGCCTCTGACTCCTCACCATAATCATAGACCTGCACTGGAGAAAAATGGACAAATATGTCTGATTGCAAAACAAACTTCTGTTTTGAAGGCTAAAAAAAGATGATTTCTCCATCAGCGGGTCGATCCTTTTTTTAAGTCATCCTTGGACTTTTCACTCCAAAGCTCTCGGTCACACAGAGCACATTTTGGAATGTAAAATACTAGATTATATTCCTAATCTATGATTTTAATTCACAATTAGTTATTTTTTTAAGACTCTATACGCATTGTACATATATGATATGGTTGCCATAAAGTGTATATAAGGTATTTTACTAAATTTTATATTGCTAAGGAGTGGCATTATTACAATAGTCAAATTTCCCTGTAATGTTCTCCCTAATTTCAGACTTGACATTATTTGTGGCCTTATTTGTTTTAAGTGGGAAATGGATGATGTTGGGCTTTTTTTCCTTTTTCAATTTTCAGAAATATTTATATTTAAATGTCCTTGCTCTCATTAAATACAATGCAGTATTTTCATCACAATTGAAATTCACATTTCGATGTAATGTTCTCCCTAATTTCAGACTTGATAACAAAGATTGTGTTTGTTTTTAACTTATTTCCATTGCTTTATTGCAGTCACTTACCGCTGGTTCGGTGTTAATGATGATACGAACCCACCGTTGCTGAAGCTGTTTGCTTTGGCAGGAATTCATTTTTATAATGGTGTTAAATGTAACAAAATAGAGTTTTAATGATAATTAATATATATATTTAATTATCATTAAAACTCTATTTTAATGAGTTTTAATGATAATTAAAACTCATTATATATATAATATATATATTAATGACATGACAGAGAACAGTGGTACTGTAGTAATACAATGTGCAACTAGTTGTACCTCAATACAGGAAGTACTGTGGTTTTGAAATGTCCGTGTTAATCTGCCCCCTGCAGGTGTGAGCTACGTAGAGGTGCAGCGCAGCAATCATGGTGGCCCTGTCACTGAAGATCGGCGTGGGGAACGTGGTGAAGACCATGCAGTTTGAGCCCTCCACCATGGTGTACGACGCCTGCCGCATCATCAGGGAGAGGGTTCCTGAGGCTCAGCTCGGCCAGCGTGAGTGGATACTTCGAAACCAGCGAAGAGACAGTTTGAGATGTTTAACATTTGTTCGGCGTTTTGTCAATAATCTGAAAACTGGTTGCGAGTTACTTGTAACTTGTGATTTTTAGAATTTATCAGGATGCGAGACGTAGATTAATAAGAATCTGGAACAGAGCACATTCATATCTGCTCTTTTTATGGCAGCATATATGGCCTGGATCTGATTTTAAATTTATTTTATATAGTGACAAAACACTTTGAAATAGACACTGCTTCGAATGAGAGCTGCTACCTCAAAGGAAATGTTGAAGGCCTTTCATGAAATAACTCACTTTTATATTTAGCTTTTTGTTGTCTAGATCTTTTTCAGCTATTTAAAATCATATTTTGAAAGATCAGGTGTCAAGATCTAGCACTCTTATGGATCTCAGAAGATAAATTGTGTTGTAGCCATTGACCAGATCTAGCACTCTTATGGAAGATAAATTGTGTTGTAGCCATTGACCACCAGCTGATTATCGACTGTACAGCTGGAAACAGCAGGAAACAGAGCTCCTCAGATGTATCAGCTGGCCACTTATGTCACATTACATAATCTGCGGCTGCATATTTTCAAACTTGTTTGAATCTAGAAAGCTGATGACATGTTAAGCTGCGTTCTTTACCCCGCAGAGTTCAGTTGATCCCAGTCTGAGATGTTCCAAACAGATGTTCCTGTCAAACTGATCCACTGACCTGAGATTAAATGTCTTCAGTGACCAAACATCTACACGTCTCCGTGACGCTCTGCTTCTGTTTTTCTAATTCTGCAGCCAATGATTATGGGCTGTTTCTGTCCGATGAAGATCCAAAGAAAGGCATCTGGCTGGAGGCAGGAAAAGCTCTGGATTACTACATGTTGAGGAATGGGGTGAGTCATATAATCCCCACCGAGCAACATAAGTAACATCAGTGTGAGAATAGAACAAAGCCATGATAAAATGTGTCCGCAGTGTGTGTTAAAGGTTATCAAGTCCATCAGAGATAATTTCTAGTCTTCTTTGGTCGTTTGGCCTTCATTTGGCCTTCCTTTTTCATTGATATGATCTGCCATTAACACTGTGACATTTGACAGCTAACTGAGTTCAGTCACCATCATACTACTACTGGAAATCCCCTCACAAAAATGTTTCAAGTTACTTCAGTTAGTAAAGGGTTATATGGTCCACAATCATATCTTCTTCTTTTTTTTCTCACTAAATGCAGTTTTCAAAATAGACATCAATATTCTTTTACTTAACTGCGGTATACACTATATTTACATACATATAATATCTAGGTTTTTGCTATATAGTGATGTTATATTTCTTGATACTGTTCAAATAAATTGGGGTATACAATGTACGATATATATCCTAATGTATTTATTTATTTATTTATTTTATTATTATTATATAATATGTATCTTGATATTGCAAGGTACTGTATATGGCATGTATTTCAAAAGGTTTTTTTACTAAATTTTGTTATGGTATATATATTTATATATATATATATATGGTATAAGAAAATTAAATGTAATGAGGTGAAATGATCTTCTGGTTCAAATTTTAATTCTCACAGTGTTTAGCCAGGGCCTGTTTAGTTGAACACCGTACTGATATACTTGCAGGAATCAAAGAGAAACACAGCTCTCATTTTCTTTTATAGTTTTTATAACCATCTGCTGCCACCTTGTGGAAGAGTATTTAATTGTTCAGCGAAAGGTGTAAACTTATCTATGATCTATGTTTGTGTATTTTCTACTTTCTATAATTATAATTTCTATTTAATATTTTTTTTCTATTTTATATAGTTAACCTGCTTCCTTACTTATATTTTTGGAATGTTGGCATATTGTATCTCAGCATGCTCTCCTCCCGTCTCTCAGGACACTCTGGATTACAAGAAGAAACAAAGGCCTCTGAAGATCCGCATGTTGGACGCCACAGTGAAGACCGTCATGGTGGACGACTCCAAGATCGTCAGCGACATGCTCATGACCATCTGTGCCAGGATAGGTCGGTGTGACGTCATCACGCCTTTGACCTGTGTCGATCTCATGTTGTACACGTTGTGATTTTCTATGTGTGCTTTGGCGTTTCAGGCATCACAAACTACGACGAGTACTCGCTGGTGCGAGACATCGGCGAAGAGAAGAAGGAGGAAACCACAGGCACGTTGAAGAGAGACAAGACCCTGCTGAGAGACGACAAAAAGATGGAGAAGCTGAAGCAGAAGCTGCACACGGACGATGAGTGTATGCTGGTCTTGTCCTCTTATATGTCCCATTTTGTCTATACTGTCCTGCAGTAAAAATCCGCACAGACGTACAGTTGAGCTTTGGGTTCATGTTTCTTCAGTGAACTGGTTGGACCACGGAAGGACGCTGAGAGAACAGGGTGTAGAGGAGACGGAGATGTTGCTGCTCAGGAGAAAGTTCTTCTACTCGGACCAGAACGTAGACTCCAGAGATCCTGTGCAGCTCAATCTGCTCTATGTGCAGGTACACGAACATCTCGACATCTGACCTCGGACATGTTTTTAAGCTTGTTCCTAGCATCGGTCGGCGTTCTTATTTCTTTCTGTTTTTGCTCACAGGCTCGTGATGACATTCTGAACGGTTCTCATCCCGTCTCTTTTGACAAAGCCTGTGAGTTTGCAGGTTATCAGTGTCAGATTCAGTTTGGGGACCACAACGAGTCCAAACACAAGCCTGGGTTCTTGGAGTGAGTACAGTCTTTAGATTTGACTACATGATTTATATTAGCTGGGTTCAAAGTCTGACGTTATGACATTCTTCCAAGGAGCAAAAGGAGAACTATGCTGTAAATTTCTGTTACAGTAGCAAAAAAGATGTCATGTGACACTCTTAAACAGAAATTTCTGCTACAGTAGCAAAAAAGATGTCATGTGACACATCTGTGGTGATTGTCTTACAGGGTTTTTTTTTTATTTTGAAAGGAAGCACCACTGGCTCAGTTCTGTTTTCAGTTTTTACCATTAATTGTAATTGATGTTCACTTCAGACTTCGAAAACCCCCTGATTAATATCTTATTTCTTGGTGTAAAGTGTCAATTTGAAAAAGGCTAAAATACTGTATTTTTTTCTTCATTATCTCAGTTTAAAAGAGTTCCTTCCCAAGGAATACATCAAGAATAAAGGAGAGAAAAAGATCTTTCAGGTAAGATCTTTACTGATATACAGTAGCTCGTATATTGTTCTAAATAAAGCAAACATTGGAATGCAACGTTCAATTAAGTAAAGTAAAAGTTTTGATGAGTTTTTTTCCTGAATGTCAGACAATGAGCAGATGTGAGAGAGTTCACTTGTTTCCTCTCTGCTCCCTGTAGGCTCATAAAAACTGCCAGAACATGACAGAGATAGAGGCTAAAGTTAGCTACGTGAAGCAAGCGCGGTCCCTGAAGACCTATGGAGTGTCCTTCTTTCTGGTCAAGGTGAGAGGGGGATGTCAGCTCCCATCATGCATCTGTATGGAAGCAAGACCCCTGAAAGAACAGATTTGAAGTTTATTAGACACCGTAGCGCACCGGCAGATTGTTGAATTCTGCACATTTACTTCCCGTTTTAGGAAAAAATGAAGGGCAAGAACAAACTGGTCCCTCGTCTGCTGGGCATCACCAAGGAGAGTGTGATGAGAGTGGATGAGAAAACTAAGGAGGTGATTCAAGAGTGGAACCTGACCAACATCAAACGATGGGCTGCTTCACCCAAAAGTTTCACCCTGGTGAGAGACGGAACTCCTCCTTTAATCATCGCTCTGATTGTTCCAGACCTACTGGAACGGGGGTCCTTAACCTTTTTGACCTTGAGGTCAAATTTCTATGGTACAAATTGGCCCTATTACATGTTGACCTCATTCACAGTTTGATCTGTATTCAAAAATCCATTTAAAAACAAACAGCGTAGAGAAGAAGATATTCTTCTTTGCTGTATATTGACGCTTGTTAAAGAACCAACTGAGGCGTTACCACCACCACATGGTTGAAAGCTGCATTGAACCTTAGCTCCTCATGGACAACATAACCCTGGGGTCTTCAATTGATAACATATGTACCGTAATCCTATGGACCACAGGTGCAACACTGAAAGTTTTTTGTGGCCCGCTACATTTTGACGGCAGCCCAACTTTGGGCCACGCCCCTTATGGTTAAGAATCACTGTCCTAGAGTATGTTTTTCACTCAGCAGTAAAGTGAAAGTGTGTTATTCGAGGGCCTGGCGAGGATTGTGTAGGGATGCTGCCATTCTCAGTACACTTCGATGGCACCTGGTGGATGGTGGATTTGAACCTTAGACCCTCTGGACACATGTCTGCCTTCTTAACCAGGCCACTACTGCCCTTCCCCAAAGCTGTAATTTGATCAACAGTAACAGTAACTGTTATTATTGTGTTACTAAACTTTTCCAGGATTTTGGAGACTATCAGGACGGTTACTACTCAGTACAGACAACTGAGGGTGAGCAAATCGCTCAGCTCATCGCTGGATACATAGACATCATTCTGAAGAAGGTAACAGTTGACAATGACTTCTTGTTTGTTCCCTCTTATTTTCCAGTTCCTTTCTTTGCTTTCCGTCCAAATTACACTGCCATTAATGCTATGCCTCTTATTTTCCAGTTCCTTTGAAAAATTCGATGTTCTCTTGTATTTGCTTTCTGTCCAAATTACACTGCCATTAATGCTATATTTGCCTCAATTGAAGCTGTTTTGGTTTTTTTGAAGTGTCATCTGGAAGGATAAAATTGAAGTTTTTTTTGAAGTGTCATCTGGAAGGATAAATATGAAAAAATACTAATATTACGATAATTCTAAACTTTTCATTAATGAAACCATTAATCATTATTAAAGGGAAACATTAAAACCTAAATAAATGTTATGAGATAAATAACTTAAACCCATGCATTAAACAACTGTTGTTTTTTTAGATAACCAGTTCAACTTTTCAGAAGTTTTGATGTGAGATTAATCACTTTTATGTGTCGTATTTTTACAGAAAAAAAGCAAAGACCACTTTGGTCTAGAAGGAGATGAAGAGTCTACAATGCTGGAAGATTCTGTGTCCCCCAAAAAGTAAGTGATACAGGAAGACCTGTGGTTTCCTCACTGTCTCCACCTACTGGTCTCATTCAATTCCTTCTCTGCTCTTCTTCCTTCTTCAGATCCACTGTTCTTCAACAACAGTTCAACAGAGTAGGTAAAGTGGAGACGGGCTCTGTGGCTCTGCCCGCCATCATGCGTTCAGGAGCTGGAGGACCGGAAAGCTTCCAGATGGGCTCCATGCCTCAGGCCAGGCAGCACATCACCAGTGGACAGATGCACCGAGGCCACATGCCTCCACTGGTAAAAAAACAAAAACAGACCATGTCAAATCATAGGTAGATATTTTTGGAACATAGCTGGTTTTATTTTGGCCTTACAGACACAGGAAACGTGGTTTTACATCTCTATAAATGCACGTTAGTAAAAACATATTTTTACAGTCTACACTGAGAGTGTTCATGCGTAGAAAGGACATCATGGTCGTTTTGATGATGTGTGTCCACAGACATCAGCTCAACAAGCTCTGACTGGGACCATCAACTCCAGCATGCAGGCGGTCCAGGCCGCTCAGGCATCTCTGGATGACTTTGACACCCTGCCTCCACTGGGAACAGACGCGGTGAGACGCACTGTCAATGGAATTCACTACTGAATGCTGATTGACCTTTAGTAGTTTTTTTTTTTTTAATAATACCATTTTTTTTCAGGCTTCCCAAGCATGGCGCAAGAACAAGATGGATGAATCCAAACATGAGATCCATTCCCAGGTGGACGCCATCACAGCAGGCACCGCCTCCATGGTCAACCTCACGGCAGGTAGGAGCGTGATAGTATCACACGCACACTTAAAGGGAACATATTGTGCAAAATTGACTTGGTCTTTGGTTCACATGCAGTATCTGTCTATGGAGTTACTGTCTACTCTATAGTGGCAGTTTCAACAACCAAGTAGATGTTTTATGGTCTCAAAAAATTTGCAAATGAATGCTGGTGAAATTTGGAGGAATTGTAATGCTGCTGCACCCATTATGTTTGGACCATAGTCTGTTGTCAGGTGTCCTGCTAGTTTACCGTACCTGCCAGAATGTCATACGCTTCCTCACTATTCACCTATGAGAATTTTGCCATTGCAATGCGAAGCTGCCCCGCCCCGTTTAAAGTGGGCGGAGTTTACAGTGGCTCATTACCATTTAAAGGTAAAGGCAATTTTTTGGTCGAAATGTATTGCTAACATTTATGTAGACATGTAGAAGAACCGTATTAACATCAAGTTCTGGTTCGAGTTTTTTTTAGAAATAAGAAGTTCCAGAGGTTTTATACTTTAATGTCTTATGCGTCAGGTGACCCGGCAGAGACTGACTACACCGCAGTGGGCTGCGCCGTGACCACCATCTCCTCCAATCTGACGGAGATGTCAAAGGGAGTCAAACTGCTGGCCGCTCTCATGGAGGATGAAGGAGCAAATGGGCAACAGCTGCTCGGCGCAGCTAAGAACCTGGCCTGTGCTGTGTCTGACATGCTGAAGACGGCTCAACCAGCAAACACAGAGGTCGGTGCAAAAATCCTACAGAGACAAGTCTGAGCTCTGTCTTCATTTGTGTCAAAGCTTGTGTTTTTGTTTCGGTGTGCAGCCACGTCAGAACCTGCTGCAAGCTGCCGGGAACGTTGGTCAGGCCAGTGGAGAACTGCTGTCACACATCGGAGAGACAGACACGGACCCACAGTTCCAGGTTGGACCTCTACTCTGACTGACAATGGTTTCAGTTTAAGTTATTTTAATGGCAGTACTCAGATAGTTAAGTTCCCGTTGGACTTATGAGATGAACTAACCCGTGCATGGGATTCACCAAAACATGTATTCCATCATTTTTCACAAGTCCTGAGTATAGATTCAACACCAAGGACCTGTTCTTTCATCCTGTGTGTTTGTTACATGAGAACATTTTCAGATGCGCAAACAGATCAGTACCACTGGAAGTCATTGGGCAGATGATAAACAATACATTTCCTGCAAAACCAGGAAGAAGAATTCTTCTTCCACTATAAACTACAATATAGAAAAGAAGAAAAGATACTTTATTGTCTGAACCAAAGGCAAATAATCACTTACGGCAAATAAGACCTATTCAGCGTTCTTGTTTGTATCATAAATCTGTTTCCCATCTTTGTTTGTCCCGTGTGTGTATGTGACAGTGTTCAGGGAGAGGATCTGTCAGGGATGCGCAGGGGAGAACTCTCACTTATTATCAGATCCTGGTAACACAACATGTGCTCAGGGCACACGTCCGTATCCGAAGAACCAATCAAATCACCTGCTTTTATAGCCTGCTACATTGACTGCTGCAAATTATAATCTTATAATCAAAAACTGTTAATCAAAAATTTTAAAAAACAACAGAGCCTCTGAGGAGACATGGAAAATACTCTGACATCGTCTGACCAGCTGCTCTTCACCTTCACCAAGTTTAAAAGCTGAATGAATTCGTTTGAAACATTAATGGCTGTAAAAGTACAGTAGTATAGTTATAGCTAAATAAATATGGGGAGTGCTCACATGTTGGTAAAACAATTGGAAGTGCTCTCGATAATGTAAATGTTTGGAAACTGTTTAGAAAAACATTCCCAAAAAGTAAAAGTTCTAGGTGAAAATGCAGCTGTAAAAATATATGTCATGTCATGAAGATCTAATTTAAATCTTCATGACATGACAAAATTAAATCACTCATTTAATTTTTTTTCTTTTCATTAATCTCACCGATTCCTTCTAACAAATAATTTTTTTTACAAATCTCTTTCAGTAATTCTCTTGTTTCGATGTGAAACCAGTGATTGATCCTCTGTTACGTTCACTGACCCGTGTTTTTGTAGGACATGCTGATGCATCTCGCCAAAGCGGTGGCCAACGCTGCTGCAGCTCTGGTACTCAGAGCGAAAAACGTGGCCCAAAAGACGGAGGACTCGGCCCAGCAGAACCGTGTGATCGCCGCCGCCACTCAGTGCGCTCTGTCCACGTCTCAGCTGGTGGCCTGCACCAGGGTAATTGATCCACCTAGTGTGTTGACTCTTCGAACACGCCATTTAGGTTTTAGTCTTTTATTCACATGTACTTCCACTCCTTCCTCATGAAGGTGGTGGCACCGACCATCAGCTCCCCCGTATGCCAGGAACAGCTGATCGAGGCGGGTAAACTTGTCGCCAAGTCTGTGGAAGGCTGTGTGGAGGCCTCGCAGGGCGCCACCAACGACGAAGGCCTCCTTAAGCAGGTGGGCGTGGCCGCCTCAGGCGTCACCCAAGCCCTCAATGAGCTCCTGCAGCACATCAAACAATACGGCAGTGGGGGGCATCCCATTGGACGCCACGGAGAAGCAACTGACCGCATCCTGGATGTCACAGAAAACATCTTCAGCTCCATGGGAGATGCAGGTTGGTTCTGGATTCGTACTCAGAGGGCTTCATTGTCTAGTCGCCAGAAGATCAACCTTGGCTTTCTTCTTCATGTGACACATCAGGTGAGATGGTTCGTCAGGCTCGTATCCTCGCCCAGGCAACCTCCGACCTGGTCAATGCCATCAAAATGGACGCAGAGGGCGAGTCAGACCTGGAGAACTCCCGCAAACTGCTGTCAGCGGCCAAACTGCTGGCTGATGCCACTGCCAAGATGGTGGAAGCAGCAAAGGTCTGGCGTCGGCCTCGGTTTGAATGATTTTTAATCCCCCATACTCTCTAGTTCAGCTTAGTGACGTCGGCTCGTCTCCCTTTGTCACAGGGTGCAGCGGCCAATCCAGACAGCGAGGAGCAGCAGCAGAAGCTGCGGGAGGCTGCTGAAGGTCTCCGCATGGCCACTAATGCCGCCGCCCAGAATGCGATCAAGAAACGTCTGGTCAACAAGCTGGAGGTAAGAACATCCCTCCATTATGACAGGTTTTTTTTTTTTTTAAATTTAGCCTCACATTTTTGACACTCATTAAAACTTTCGCTGTCATGACAATATGAATGCTGTACTCACTTCAACCTGCCTGTCCTGAATGAGCTCAGCATTTAACACTGTTTCCTGTTTCCTGTCAGAACGCAGCCAGACAGGCCGCAGCTGCAGCCACTCAGACCATCGCCGCCTCCCAGCACGCTGCTTCAACCAACAAGAACCAGGCAGCGCAGCAGCAGCTGGTCCAAAGCTGCAAGGTGAAAACACAAAAAAAAAACCCCACATTTATTCATTATCACACACTGCAGTTATTTGTTCACACATACTCCCCTGTGACCTTCACATCACCAGGCAGTGGCAGACCAGATCCCACACCTGGTCCAGGGAGTCCGAGGCAGCCAGGCTCAACCCGACAGTCCCAGCGCTCAGCTTGCTCTCATTAGCGCCAGCCAGAACTTCCTGCAGGTGAGCACCAGGCGCCACAGAACACCACGGTGATGTCACTCTTACAGGTGTTTGTGTTGTGCAATCACACGTCCGTTTGGGTTCTTCTTCACAGCCTGGCGCCAAGATGGTCACGGCCTCAAAGGCCACTGTGCCCACCATCAGTGACCAGGCATCAGCGATGCAGCTCAGTCAGTGCGCTAAGAACCTGGCCAGTGCTCTGGCCGAGCTCCGCACGGCCTCGCAGAAGGTACAGTCTGTCAAATAAAATGTGTCAATAATATATCAAACTAAATATGCCTAGTACACAATTGAATTGCAAACATCTGGTTGTGTGTGTGTGTGTGTGTGTGTTTAGGCTCAGGAAGCCTGTGGTCCACTGGAGATAGACAACGCTCTGTCTGTGGTCAGAGACCTGGAGAAGGACATGCACGAGGCCAAGGCTTCAGCAGAGGCAGGCAAACTCAAACCACTGCCAGGAGAGACGGTGAGAGCCACACCTGCACACATGGGCGCACAAACACATACGCACAGATGTATCACCTCGACTCACCTCGTTCACGTTAATTCCTTTTTTTTTTTTTTCTTTCCTCAGTTGGAGAAATGTTCCCAGGATCTGGGCACCAGCACCAAGGCTGTAAGTTCTGCCATTGCACAGCTGCTGAGTGAAGCCACGCAGGGCAATGAGAACTACACAGGTGAGTAGTGAACCACACACAATTGGAACTGTATATGAGAGTTTGAGCAACACCATAATATTCCGGTGCAAATTTTCATTAACAGTATTTAGTGTGATGTGATAATTTGATAATGTGTGAATAAATTAATGAGAGACTATAATATAATATATAATACTATATATAATAATATATATAGTATACAGTATATATGTGTATCTATATATATGTATGTATATATGCGTCTGTGTATATATGTATATATATGTACATGTATGTATATATATATGTGTATATGTATGTATATATGTATGTGTATGTATGTATGTATATGTATATATATGTACATGTATGTATATATATATGTGTATATGTATGTATATATGTGTCTGTGTATATATGTATATATATGTGTGTATGTATATATATGTACATGTATGTATATATATATGTGTATATGTATGTATATATGTGTCTGTGTATATACGTATATGTGTGTGTATATATGTATATATATGTACATGTATGTATATATATATGTGTATATGTATGTATATATGCGTCTGTGTATATATGTATATATATGTACATGTATGTATATATATATGTGTATATGTATGTATATATGCGTCTGTGTATATATGTATATATATGTACATGTATGTATATATATATGTGTATATGTATGTATATATGTGTCTGTGTATATATGTATATATATGTGTATATGTATGTATATATGCGTCTGTGTATATATGTATATATATGTGTGTATGTATATATATGTACATGTATGTATATATATATGTGTATATGTATGTATATATGCGTCTGTGTATATATGTATATATATGTACATGTATGTATATATATATGTGTATATGTATGTATATATGCGTCTGTGTATATATGTATATATATGTACATGTATGTATATATATATGTGTATATGTATGTATATATGTATGTGTATGTATGTATGTATATGTATATATATGTGTATATGTATGTATATATGCGTCTGTGTATATATGTATATATATGTGTATATGTATGTATATATGCGTCTGTGTATATATGTATATATATGTGTATATGTATGTATATATGCGTCTGTGTATATATGTATATATATGTACATGTATGTATATATATATGTGTATATGTATGTATATATGCGTCTGTGTATATATGTATATATATGTGTGTATGTATATATATGTACATGTATGTATATATATATGTGTATATGTATGTATATATGTGTATATGTATGTATATATGTGTATATGTATGTATATATGCGTCTGTGTATATATGTATATATATGTGTATATGTATGTATATATGCGTCTGTGTATATATGTATATATATGTGTGTATGTATATATATGAACTTGAACACTTGAACTCACTGGTCCGATGTCCTCTCTTTTCTGCTTCATTCAGGCATGGCAGCCAGAGATGTCGCTCAGGCTCTGAAGTCTATTGCCTCAGCTGCCAGAGGAGTCGCTGCCACCACAGAGGACCCCTTGGCTCGTAACGCAATGCTGGACTGCGCCGGTGATGTCATGGACAAATCCGCCAACCTTATCGAAGAGACCAAGAGGGCCATCACTAAACCGGGAGATGCAGAGAGTCAGCAGAGGCTGGCACAGGTGGGAGACAACATGCAGATGGAGTACTTCCTGGTTGGAGTTGCTCATGATGATGATGATGATGATGATGGTGATGATGGTGATACCATTAGTAATTTAAATGACGTGTATGTGTTTGGCTACAGGTAGCGAAGGCAGTGTCTCAGGCGCTCAACAGGTGTGTGAACTGCCTTCCTGGACAGAGAGACGTGGACAACGCCATCCGCACCGTGGGCGAAGCCAGCAAGACACTGCTGGGTGACTCTGTCAGTACCACCGCTGCTGCCGACATCTGTCTTCCGGTTCTTCTCTCAGCCGTGGATATCCACTCACTTGTCTCTTCTTCCTTCTACAGTTCCCAGCCAGTGGGAGGAGCTTCCAGGAGGTGCAGGCGCAGCTCAACGAGGTCGCCGCAGGTCTGAATCAGTCCGCCAATGAGGTAGTCCAGGCGTCCAGAGGAACCACACAGGACCTAGCCCGGGCAACCAGCAAGTTTGGACAAGACTTTAGCAACTTCCTGGATGCTGGTGTGGACATGGCAGGAACATCTCAGGTCAGTATTCTGTTCTATTCTTTTCTGTTGTCTAATCCACATTTGGTGTCAATGTCAAACTTGTGTCCTTTCTTCTGTCCTCCAGTCTAAGGAGGATCAGACACAGGTGGTGTCCAACCTGAAGACCATATCCATGTCCTCAAGTAAACTTCTGCTGGCAGCTAAAGCTCTGTCCACTGACCCCAACTCCCCCAACCTTAAGAACCAGCTGGCTGCTGCAGCTCGGTGAGCTTCACTTCATCTCTCTCTCTTTTTTTGTTTAAATATTTTTCTTTCTTTTTTTTTTACCATTTTCCTGTGTTTTACATGTTTGTCGTCACCTCACAGTGCGGTGACACTATTTTCCTGTGTTTTACGTTTGTCGTCACCTCACAGTGCGGTGACCGACAGCATCAACCAGCTCATCACCATGTGCACTCAGCAGGCCCCGGGTCAGAAGGAGTGTGACAATGCTCTCAGAGAGCTGGAGGTAACTGATGCTCACCTTATCGTATCTTAGGCCACAGTCACTGTTTTATTAAAAGAATCCACCTGAGAAATGCAAACATTTACTTGGCTTCAAGGATGAAGTGATAAACGTACTTGACCTGTGTACTAATTTGAACTAATCAAATGGACGTGTCGTGTTTGTGTTTAGTCGGTGAGAGGGATGCTGGAGAACCCAACAGAGGCCCTCAATGATATGTCGTACTTCGACTGCATCGACAGCGTCATGGAGAATTCCAAGGTCTTGTCCTTTTCCTTCCTCATCTATCTGTTTTGTTGTATCACATTCGTATGATGTCAAGATAATGTCTGATTGGGTGAAATAATTCTTGAAATAAAATTGTGATTTGTTTGTTTTCAGGTTCTTGGTGAATCCATGGCTGGAATCTCCCACAATGCCAAGAACTCCAATCTACCAGAGTTTGGTGATTCAGTCAGTGGCGGTTCCAAGGCTCTGTGTGGTCTGACTGAAGCTGCTACACAGGTACAATCATTTGTGTTGTTCTATCCAAGTGTTGGTTGGTTTTTATACATGTTGCCATTTGATACCGATCAAAGCCAAGCACTATGTATCTTTTCACTTTCATGAAGATGACCTGCAAATATATTTATTACGGGATGTCCCCTAAATATTGGCTGATATTATTGGCCCGCTATAAGATGGATAGATGGATAGATAGTAACTTGATAACGTTTTTGTTTTATAACTTTATTAATCTCTTGGGTGATCCCTACAGGAAATTAAGGAAATGTGAAGTTAACTATATAAGCATACTGATGTAATATCTGTAAGAATCATTATCAGTTTTTCCTCTGATAATGAAAACCCGATAATGCAATGCCTGGGTTTTGCCAAATATGCTGGAATCACTTGTAGGGTCCTGAGACGTTTACCTCAGTTTTGGGAGCAAACGACTGCATCTATCGGTATCGGTTATCATTGGAATCGCAAATGTTTGGACAATGTCGTCATATGAGATATCTGCAAAATGTTCATTTCGGACATTCCTAATTTTTATGAAACCAAGGGGAATGATCTTTTAGGTTCTTAATTCTATATAAATCTTTGGCTTAGTGACTAACTTAACTAAGTAGTCATTTTCTAAATGAGATTAAACCAAGTGCATTGATTTGGTAACTCAGAATAATGTATATCTATGGCACATTGACGTCACTTCAAGGCCAAAGTTAACGAGTTGTTGGAGCGTCCTGATCTTGACAAGACTATTCACACACAGCCTGCTCCTTGACTGACACTTGCAGCCCTGAACACATCACTGCCCTATGTTATTTTCCATTTCAACTGTCTGTTGAAACTTGTTTGTTTTTAAATCCTTGACTGTCCTTGCCCTATCATACCTACGTGATTAGATAATTCCTTGCAGACTGAGAGAGAGCACCGAGGTCAGATTTGATTCTAGTAGAAGTAGAAGTGCTCAGAACTACAATAAGTATAAACATGGGGGCGATCAGCCCTTCCCTGTCCCGCAAACATTCGCAAAATTCGTCATTTGGGCTGTTTTAAATATAAATCATCAAACATAGTTTTTGTGGCGCTTTGGCCCAGAGGCAATGTCTCTTTTTATGCCTAACACTGTTGTGTCATTTTTATTTTTTGTTTTCATCCTTTTAATTTGCAGTCTATAATTGATCATTTTATTCTTTCACTGTAAAACAATGTGGTCATGTTTGGGATTTTGCAAAGAGCTTTATGAATAAATGTTTTTTGATCGATTGGTGTTTCCAGGCAGCCTACCTGGTGGGAGTGTCTGACCCCAACAGCTCAGCAGGTCAGAAAGGCCTGGTGGATCCTGCCCAGTTTGCCCGAGCCAACCAGTCCATTCAGATGGCCTGTCAGAACCTGGTGGACCCTGCCTGCACACAGTCTCAGGTACAGAGTGTAGTCTCACACTTTACTACTTGACTGGTTGTCACCATTGTCCATGTCTTACCTCACTGTGCCCTGTCTCTTCCCTCAGGTTCTGTCGGCCGCCACCATCGTGGCCAAACACACCTCAGCTCTGTGTAACGCCTGTCGCCTGGCCTCGTCTAGAACTCCCAACCCTGTTGCCAAAAGACAGTTTGTGCAGTCTGCCAAGGAAGTTGCCAATACGACAGCTAACCTGGTCAAGTCCATTAAGGTTTGTTCTCCTAGGTCAGGAGTTTCCAAACTTTTCCTAAACAGCAGTAGCCTCTGGCCAGGGACCCCTTTTGCAAACCCGCAAACAAAACTAAAAAGATCAACTTTTAGAATGTATTTCCTCACTTCATTCACTATTCAATAATTATTACTATTTCTTTTCAATAATTATTTTATAACATCAAAAAAATTAACAAAAGATGTTTTCTGAATAATAAACTCTAAACTCAACTTTCCTAGATGAGGTCCACCCAGGCCATGTGTCCTGCTGCACATTGAATTTCATCCACCTGGTTGTGTAAGGTGATGTAACCTATGTTTGTCTTCTGCAGGCTTTGGACGGAGCCTTCAACCATGAGAACAGAGAGAAGTGTAAAGCTGCCACCGGCCCTCTGATCGAAGCTGTGGACAATCTCACCGCCTTTGCCTCCAACCCTGAGTTCGCCAGCATTCCCGCTCAGATCAGCTCTGAGGTACGTCTCAGTGTGACCTCAGTGTCGTGGTGCAAACATTAAAACTCTAAATAAGTTTCTGAACCCAACATTGATTTCCGACGTCTTTGATTCCCTTGCATCGTCCTCAGGGTCATGCAGCCATGGAGCCCATCCTGTTAGCAGCAAAGACGATGTTGGAGAGTTCCACCGGCCTGATACAGACGGCACGCTCTCTGGCTGTCAACCCCAAAGACCCGCCCAAGTGGTCAGTGCTGGCTGGACATTCGAGAACTGTGTCTGACTCCATCAAAAAGCTCATCACCAACATGAGGTAACGCCTTCACTCCTGGAGATTTTGTCTTGTGTTTTTACTAAAACTTATTCGTATTTGACTTCATGTTTGGTTTGTATGTGTGTAGAGAAAATGCTCCCGGTCAGAGAGAGTGTGACGATGCCATTGAGGTGCTGAACGGCTGCATCCGTGAGGTGGATCAGGCGTCTTTGGCTGCCATTAGTCAACAGCTAACACCCAGAGATGACATCTCCATGGAGGTAAGAAGGATGGCAAAAAAAAGGGTTGTGGTGTCCAGTGGTGCTTGTGATTTTGTGTGTCATTTTCTGTAAAAATCTAAAATTTAAAAAAATTTAAACTTGGACTAACAAATAAAATAAACATATCTGCACGATTTAGCGAAAAAAAATTTAAACTTGCACTAACAAATAAAATAAACATATCTGCGCGATTTAGTGCTATACTGCGTAGTGCAGTATAGCACTAAATCGTGCAGATATGTTTATTTTGGGAATGGGAATTGGGAATGGTATTTTATTGGGAATGTAACCATTCCCATGTTTGGGAATGTTCCTGGCAAATACTGCCACATTGTCTTTAAATTTCCCATTTAAAAATAGGTGCAGTATATCACAAAATTCCACATTTAAAAATAGTTTTGCATTTGGCATAATGAAATATCTAAAACATTTAGGCGTCCCTGAAATTGTCCCATTGAAGCTGTAAAAACACGGCATGGCATCGTTAAACTCCCACATGATTTTATTTTTGTAGATGATTTATGGTCAGAAATAAACTCAGACTTGTGTAACCCTACGTTCAAATGGTTGATAGACCAGTTCACTCTGTGCCCCACTGGGACATGTCTCCTCCAAGATTTATTGGAAAGATTTGATGGTGTAATAAGAGCACCACCTACAGAGCAGAAAAAAAATATCATACTTTATTTTTCTTTATTGCAGATATCATACTTTCTTTTTTTTTTTTTTTTTTTTTTTTTTTTTCAGACTCTCCATGAACAGATGGCTGCCTCAGTCCATGAGATCAGTAACCTTATTGACCCCGTTGGTGTGGCTGCACGGTCCGAGGCGTCCCAGCTGGGACACAAGGTAAAGACACTGTTACTGACACAGCTCGGTGGTCTACAGTCGGTACATACAGAAACAACTGCAATCGTTGTCTTCTCCTTTGATTGACAGGTGTCTCAGATGGCCAGCTACTTTGAGCCACTGATCATGGCAGCCATCGGCACAGCTTCCAAGATTGTGAGCAGCCAACAGCAGATGGCGGTCTTAGACCAAACCAAGACCCTGACTGAATCTGCCCTGCAGATGCTCTACACTGCCAAGGAGGCCGGAGGAAATCCCAAGGTAGTGAATCTGGCAACTGATGTACACAGTGACCTCAGGTGAAATCAGGATGATATGTATAAATCTGTGTTATGTTTAGAGTATACATTCAGGTATTACATTTGAGAATTTACCATATAACTATTATATATATGTACATATATATATATATATATAACTAAGTTATAAAAAAAATTGAATTTCCTTGCCTAAAAATTACCAAAAGATAGCACAACATTATAAAAATAACTAACGGAATAAACTAATTTGGCTCACAATTTTAACAAAAATAGAAGCCAAAATAAATGTTTAGAATAAACTAATTTGTCTCACAAAAATAGAAGCCAAAATAAATGTTTGGGACATTTAGTTAAAGAAAAAAAAACTTTTTTAAGTAATTCTATGTCAATCTCCATTTCTTTCTTTTCTGTTAAAAACATTACAATCCCAAACCGTTGTGTGTGACTTGTTATATTTACGTAGGATTTTAAGACAAAAGATGATGCTGTGAAACGACTCTAATGTTTTCACTGCTGTGTTTTTCAGGCTGCTCACATGCAGGAGGCTCTGGAAGAGTCGGTGCAGATGATGAAAGAGGCCGTGGACGATCTGGGCGCGACTCTGGCCGAAGCTGCGAGCGCTGCAGGAGCTGTGGGCGGCATGGTGGACTCCATCAATGACGCCATCAACAAAATGGAAGACGCTCCTGATATGGAACCTGAAGGCACCTTCGTGGACTACCAGACGACCATGGTCAAGACGGCCAAGGCCATCGCTGTCACTGTGCAGGAGATGGTTGGTTTTTGTTAACAACTGAATCTGAATCTTGTTTTGACAAGGTTTCCCGTCAAAGCCTACAGTGTATTTTCTTGTCTCTTGTTAGGTGACCAAGTCAAACAACAACCCAGATGACCTCGGAGGAGTGGCCAACCAGCTGACCAATGAGTTTGGAAATCTGGCCAATGAGGCCAAATATGCAGCAATCACTGCTGAGAATGATGAGGTGAGTCAAAGCTAATAAATTAAACCTTCTGCTCTGTACATTAAGCAGCTGTTAAGTTAATTAAGTTTAAATAATAAACATCCTTACGTATCTCAAACCACTGGGCAGTGCTTGGTTTATCAGCAAACATCAGTTATTGTTGGCCATTTCCTAACTTCAGGAATTGTATCTCTGCCTATTTTCAGATTGGTTCTCACATAAAAAAGCAGGTGAGCGAGCTGGGATTCAGCTGCACGAGTCTGGTGACCAAGGCTGGAGCTCTGCAGTGCAGCCCCAACGATTCCTTCACCAAGAAGGAGCTGATAGAAAATGCCCGCAAAGTCTCAGAGAAGGTCAGACCAAAACCTAGTGTCTTCTGTCTTCACGTTCCCCAAATGTCCTAATGGGTGACTCCTCAGACTCTTGGGACAGAACTTTAACTACAGAACTTTAAATTTTGTCAACAGGTTTCCCATGTGTTGGCGTCCCTACAAGCAGGAAACCGCGGAACACAGGCCTGCATCACAGCATCCAGCGCTGTAGCCGGCATCATCGCAGACCTGGACACCACCATCATGTTTGCTACCGCTGGAACTTTGAACCGAGAGAATGAAGAAACATTTGCTGACCACAGGTACTGTTAACTGCAGAGGTGCAGAAAGAACAGACACGTTTATGGATCAGGTTTCTGAATGTGATTATGGAAGATAAACCAGACATCTGTGTCACTGTTGAGGGCTATGAGGGTTGGCAAACACTGAGCACTTTATAAAGCATTTGTTGTGTGGGAACAACAAATGTTGTTTATCTTTATATGTGCTCCTGCGACGGACTGACAAGAACTGGTCAGGGTCTACCCTACCCCCGCCCTAGATAGCTGGGATTGGCTCCAGTCCCCCCTCCTCCTGATTATGGGTGAATGGGGGTTTTAATGAACTCCATTTCCCAGAAAGCTCGAGACGTGACTTTTGAGGCTGATCTCTTGTTTTTTTTTCCTGTGTTCAGAGAATACATCCTAAAGACAGCCAAGGCTCTGGTGGAGGACACCAAACTGCTGGTGTCTGGCGCCGGATCCAGTCAGGAGAAACTGGCCCAGGCCGCTCAGTCCTCAGTGACTACCATCACCAAACTGGCAGATGTTGTCAAACTGGGAGCGGCCAGTCTTGGAAATGAGGATCCAGAGACCCAGGTACAGAGTTGTTTGTGTATCTGGTACACAGCAATGGAGACATACATTTTTTAGAGTAAAGTTCAGTTCTTTCCAAAGCTATAGAGAGGAAGGAGTGTTGTTCTTTGAGTCATCACTGAGATATGTGTCGGGTTTTCCTGCAGGTCGTCCTGATCAATGCAGTGAAAGATGTGGCCAAAGCTCTGGGTAACCTCATCAGCTCCACCAAAGCTGCTGCAGGCAAACCTCACGATGACCCCAGCATGCTGCAGCTGAAGAACTCGGCAAAGGTGCGGCACCAACCATTGTTACTTCCAGCTATAACTATGCTACACTAATTTGTCATATCTGTAATGTCTTTATTGGAACGATAGGCTGTAAAAACTTTTTGTTGCCGTAGGTCATGGTGACCAACGTAACGTCCCTCCTGAAGACGGTGAAGGCGGTGGAGGACGAGGCCACCAAAGGCACCAGGGCTTTGGAGGCAACAATTGAACACATTAAACAGGAGCTGACTGTAAGTTGTCAACAAAGAGTTTAGTGTCGTCAACATATGCGGTGATACTTTTACCAAGCTGATGCATTTCCTCTGCCTCTACCGCGCAGGTTTTTAATAGCTCTGAACCACCAGCAAAGACCACCACTCCTGAGGAGTTCATCCGCATGACCAAAGGAATCACAATGGCCACGGCAAAGGCAGTGGCTGCTGGGAACTCGTGCCGTCAGGAGGACGTCATCGCCACGGCCAACCTCAGCAGGCGGGCAATCGCTGAAATGCTGCAGTCCTGCAAAGTATGTCACTTCATGACATCCTATTTAAGTTACAAAAACTGACCAGGCCCCCTTGTGGGCGACTTTCAAATTTCAAATTTAAACAGCAATTTCAGGAAAATTTTGCTCTGAACTACTCCTGATTGAGGATCTTTTTATATTAATTATTGTATTTTATATTTAATATTTCATTTTTTAGCAAGCTGCCTACCACCCTGAGGTCAGCAAAGAGGT